GTGCTTCACACTAGGGTCCCAAGACAGCTCAGAGATCAGTGGTGACATGCCGCCTCTGGGCCCCCACTTGGTGGTGCCGGAATGCAAACCTGGGGTCCCCGAGGTGCTGCCTAGGTGACTTGGGAGGCTGGGCCTGGGCAAGTGTCCCCTCCCTGAGCCACCAGGCCCTCACTTATGACAGTGCTTTGCTCAGGGAGAAAGCACACTTCCCTTCTCTCCTCTGGTCTGGCCTGTGGTCCCTGGAGCCTGAGGCTGAGCCATTTGGTGTACACGTGCGGGCACATATGTAGAGGGCCCCCACCCTGCCCGCCCTGCCCACCCCAGGGGGTAGAACCCCCAGCGTGGCCGCCTGATAGCTCAGCCACTCTCAGTGAGGGGCTTAACTTCTCTGAACTTCTGTTCCCCGACCTGAAAACCCAAAACATTCTGAAATCGGAAGCACACATCCTCCCGGACTCCCCATAACAAGCCCATCGTCCTGGGCCTCCTGGGCCTGGGGAGGCGTTCAGTGAGTGCCAAGGGCAGTGACGCGGTGGGTCAGGAGCTCAGTAACTGGTAATCTGTCCTCGTCGGCCCTGCTTGGAATTGACTGAAGTGGCTGAATGAACACATCATGTGTCCGGAATTCTTGGGGGCCCTTAAGAAAGTTTCTCAGAATATCCTAAGGAAGGGATAAGGAGGGCTCAGATGTCGGGATGGTGGCTGGACAGGCGTTGTGGGGGGGCTGCCGAGAACTCGGGTCCTTGCAGCCAGAGACCCCACGGCCTCTATCCTCCACTCGGGACTGCCCTGCCTTTGAGTCAGTGACTGGATGGAGGCCCAGGGGAGCCTGTGGATCAGCTGGGATGGGCAGTGGGCTGTCCCAGAGAGGGGCAGAGGCTACACAGCTGTCCCCACCCAGTCCCCCCCAGGCAGCAGCCTCAGGTGCAAGCCCCTGGGCCTCAGTTGACCTCAGTACGGTGGCACAGCTGTCTGAGAAGCACACAGGAAAATGGCTACAGGCTGTGTTAGTCGAGGCCGAACACCCCATCTGGGGAGGCAGCGGGCTCCATCCGCACAGAGCGCACCGGCTGCTCGCTGAGCTTTAGACACCAGTCCCGGCTCCGGTTAATGAAAGCTGAGGCCTCCCCCTGAGCAGCCCCGCCCGCCCCCGGCTCACACACTTCGGGATCGCGATCGGGAGGCTCTGTGAGGCTGCTTTAGAAAACCGTGCTTGTTTCAAAGCCTTCAAAACCGCTAAACTGGAGGACACTGTAGCTCTGGGACCATTTTGCAAGGCTGTTCATTCATTCACTAGGCATGACACCAGCCCGTCCCTGCTGTGAGATAGCCTTCAGGCTCCTGCGAGAGCCCGGGCAGACTCCCTCCCGTGTGGTCATGTACCTTCTCAGGGCAAAAATTGGTGGGCGTACTACAGTCACCATCAGCAACGATAATAATGAAGCTGGCAACAGCCACCGTGTTTAGTGGCTTATTGTTTACTGTTTTACTGGTGATATCTTGCCTCTTGAACCTTCCTTCCCACAACCCTATAAAGTAGGTATCATTAGCCTATTTTACAGATGGGGACACTGAGGCTTGGAGTGGAGCAGGCCAGTAATTTGCCCACAGCTTGTCTGAATTCATATACGAATGCAGGTGATGTGAGAGGACTCCAGCTGGCCCACGGGTGTGATCAGCTGGGTGGCCTCCTGGGGAAGGCGGGGTAGAGTTGGGCCCTGGAAAGTCCACAGCTCTCTCTCTCTCTCTCTCCTCACTGCACCCCTTCACCCATTTCACAGATTGCTGCTGGGCCTTGCCTGCCATCTTCTGGCCAGGGGGGCTGTGGAGTCGGTCCTGAGCCCTGGTTTGCCTGCCCCCGCCCCCCGCTCCCCATCCTCAGCCACTGGGCTGTCAGGTCCACAGTTCTAGAAAGTGGACCTCAAGAACCCTGTTTTACTGAAAGAAGGGACATGATTTGTCCACTGCCTTTCACTAAGGTTGACTTGGGTTTAGAATAAGATTTTCTGACTTGAAGATGCTTCTTGAGTTTGGAGCTGCAGCCACCCCCAGAATCATGTCCCTGGACCTGCCCATGAAGGGACAGGAGAAAAGGCTCATCTCCCTTCATCCAGGGCTGGATAAGAAGCCGCCCTTGGCCCTCCACCCCATAAAGGAGGTCAGTAAGGAAGCTACGAGGCTGGGCGGGGTAGGGAACTGGCATCTGGGGTCTTGGATTAAGCTTGATATGTGGTTTTGGGTAAGTCCCTTCCTGTCTGCCCTTATATACAGACTTCTGGTCCCGAGTCCCCTTCCAGCCGTGGCTTTCTGGGATGATGAGCCCTTTGCTAAGTCTGCTAAATGCAGAGCCCTAAGCTGGGTCCTCAGGGGGACACAGGTCCTCCATGGTGGGCACATGTGGTATGGTGTGGTGGGGGGTTCATAGAACCTTCCCCAGTCCCCTGAAGAATCACTCTCCCAATGGACTCGAGCCTCCCGTTCTCTTATTAACTTGTACACTGCTTCCCTCCTCATAGTGTTAACGGCTATCTTGGTTACTGTGTCTAGTACACAGTAGGTTCTCAATGAATGTAAAGGAATGAATGAATGTTACAGAGAGTTTGAGACCCCAAGGTCATGGTCGGTTTGGGTGAGGGACAGTAGGCTTCAGGGAGGAGGCAGCTTGTTAGAGGAGCAGTAAGTATAGCCCTAAAGGGAGGGGTGAGGAGGAGGAGTGACACTCGCCCCACTCAACCTCCTAGAAGAAAGAACGCTTTTTTTAAAAAACAAAACAAACTCAGAAATAGGATAAAGCTGTCAGTACAGTTACAAAATGAACGACATAAATTGTGAAAAATGCTTCGCGGTTCTTCGTACCACAAGAAGTGTAAAAATTGTGAAATTGCCATCAGTGTGGAAAATAAAAACCAAGAAAAAGCACAAGCCCATGGGGGCATCGGCTTGGCAACACCTGCGAGAGAAGCAGCGCCCATCCAAGTTAGCCGGGTGTGTCTCCTCCTCCCCACCATCCCTGGCAGGAGGCCAAGGTGGGGACCACCCAACAGCAGATTCCTGCCTCCATGCTGTGTCCCCCGAGAGCCTTCTGATCCTTGGCCTGCCATCATTTGTGGGGCCCCTCCATTAGGGGTCACCCTCTGGAGGAGGCTCCCTCCTGCGGCCCCTCACACCTGTGAAATATTTGCTGAACTACAGCTGATTAGAGACCTTGGTGACACTGAGCTGCAGAGTGAGGAGGATTTGGACCCAGTGCCTGCAGGGACTGGATGCAGTGGTGTTTCAGCTAGTGCCTGGAGGATGTGCAGAGTTCTGACAAGTGACCATGGGGATAGATCTGCCTACAGAGGTGAGAGACTGAGGGAGAGGAAAGAAGGGTGGAAAGACAGGAAAAGGGAAAGCCCGAAGAGGGTGAGCAGTCCTAGTGGACAAAGCTCTGGCGTTAGGCAGCCCCGGAAGCTGTGTGTCCTCTGGCAAGACATCCTACCTCTCTGAGCGAGGTTTCTTCATTTGCAGTAAGGGGTGATGTTTCTCTGTCATTTTCTTGTTTGTGTTGGTGACATGGGATGATGTGTAGAACTAATGGCTCACCTCATCATGATGGGTGCTGGGGCCGTAGGGACGGGCAGATCGAGCCCATGTGCTATAACCCCTGCCCACCCCTCCTCCTAGGCCAGAGAGGGCTGCCAAGCCTCTCCTTTATTGATTAACTGTGGTGATCGCATTGTGGACAGCATTGACTTCCAAATGAGTTCGTATCCCATTTACTTCTGTCCTTATGTCACCTGGAATTGAGGCTGGGGTGGGTGAGATCCCCAGAACCCCTCTCAATTCCTCCATCAGGGAATTCCCACCTCCTTTGAGTTTTCCTCTCCCTCTAGCCTTCCGTGGTCCCACATCCCGGACACCCTGAGATCCCTAATCGCCCGTCACCTATAAAGGGAGGCCTGGTTCAACCTGGATGTGTTCAGCACCGTCCCCCTCCGTGTCTCTTCCGTGGGACCAGCAGCTCCTGGAGTTGGGGATGGGACTCAGCTCTGTGCTCCCGACGCAGCGCGGCCTGGTAGATGGACAAGTGAAACGGCCTGAATGGGGGCCCTGGCTGGGGCTGGCCCTGCGCCTCCTAGGAACGGACCCCTCCCCACCGTGGGTCATGAGTGGCCCTCTAGCGAAGGCTGCCCGGCCTTCCCTCTCACGTGGCTGCAGATCTTGAAGCATGCACTGGGGATGCTCCGCGAACCCTTCAGCCTCTGCCCGCGGCCTGAGCTAGGTGCTAGGGACCCTGTCCTTGAGGTGGTTGTCCCTGCTGGAGCACCCCTGCTGCGACCACGGCTGCAGGCAAGGGGCTTCACCCCGAGGGTCAGTGAAAGTCGCCTGCTGGAGGGAAGGCAGCCAGGTTAGGGGTCCAGGTGGCCAGGGTACTACCAGGCACCGGCCCCGGAGGACTGATCACACGCCAACTCTCAGAACCTTAGTTTTCCTCCTCTGTTAAGACCTGGGGCTGAGAACCCCGACCTCGCGGGTGGGGGACCGCACCGTGTCAAGCCGGGACGGGGTGCGGGCGGGTGGACTCCTCCAGGTGGGTGGGGGAGTGACCTCGTTCCGGGCAGAGGTGAGGGGGCCGCCCCTTCGCAGCCCCGCCCCCTCGCCTCCGGCTCCCCTCGCCCCCGCGTCCGGGGGGCTCGGGCGGCCTCGGCCGCGGCCGGCGCGGCTCGGCTCGGCGTCGCCATGGCAACAGCGGCTTAGGGGGCGGGGGCGACGTGGCGGGCTGGGCCGGGCGGCGCGGGGTGGGCTGGGCCGCGCTGCGCGGGCCGGGCCGTCGGCGCTCGGTCGGCGGGCGGGCGGCGCGGGCCGCGAGCAGCTGGGGCCGAGCCCGAGCCCGCGCCCGCCCTCGGCCGCGCGGCCGCCCGAGCCAGGGCGCGGGTCCCGCGCGGGTCCCGGGCCCGCCGCCGCCGCCGCCGCGCTAACCCCGCCTCCCCTTCCCCCTCTTGTCGCCCCGCGCGCAGGGCTTCCTCAGCCGCCGCCTCAAGGGCTCCATCAAGCGCACCAAGAGCCAGCCCAAGCTGGACCGCAACCACAGCTTCCGCCACATCCTGCCGGGGTTCCGGAGCGCCGCCGCCGCCACCGCCGCCGCCGCCGCGGACAATGAGAGGTGAGCCCGCCGCCGCCAGCGCCCGGCCCGGCCTCCGCGCGCCGCCGCCCCGGGATGCGCCCCGGAGGGCGCGGGGACAAAGCGCGAGCCGCGGCTGGGGCGCGCTGGAAGCGGGAGGGCACCGCACGCCGCCCCCCGGCAACTTGTGGGGCCACCTCGGACGGGGAGTCACGGCGGGAGGACCTTCCTCTCTCCCCGCGGGGCGAGGAGGAGGTGCCCGCGGCCCCGGGCGAGGCTGGGCGGGAAGTGCCCTCGCCGAGAAGTCCTGCCTCGCCTCGCCGAGGTGGGCATTGTTTCCCGGGCGGTGCAGTGCCCGGCGCTGGGGAGCGAAGTGGCGCCTCCACCCCCAGGACCCATCCCCCTGCCTCTGGAGCCCCCGGGTGTCCGATACAAAAGGCATTTTCGGCTGGGTTTTGCCGAGACTCAGTGGTGAGGGTAAGGGTGAACATCTGGAGGGGAGGAGCTGGGGGCTGGGCTGCTTAGGGGGCACATCTGCTCTAAGTAGGGCGCGTGCTCCGCTGGGGGCTGGGGTGAGCAGAGGGGGCAGTGCCGGGGCTCTGCGCCCAGGGGCATTGCCTGAGGCTAGGGAAGAAGGGCCTTATCCTCTCCGGTCTGGGCAGCTGCTCGCCTCCCTCACCTCTCCACTCCCAGGGGTGTCTCCTGTTCCCTGTTTCCTTTTCCTGGGCAAGCCTGGAGCAGGTGTGGAAATTCCAGGGGGAGGTGGCTTGTGGGGCAGAGTAGGAGAGGGAGGAGGAGGAGGTTCAGCCCGCTCCCAGTCGCCAGCCCCAGAGCAGGCTTCAGCGCGCAAGGGCAAGCCACCCTGTCCGCGTTCGGGGACGCTGGGCAGGCAGGGTCTCTCGGGGCCCAGGTCCCCCTCCTTGAGTGGTACCAGCCACGGCACCACTTGGGCACAGGCACAGTGATGGATTCCGGTGCCAGTTAGAACATGTCCCTGCGCAGCTAGCGGGGTTGAAAGAACAGGCAGGCACCAAGGAGCCTTTTCAGCATTCAGCCCCGACATCTCAGGCCCTTGGCATCTGCCTTCACAGGGCTGTGCCCCTGTGTATGATTGGCAAGTTGGCACTCCCTGTAGGGGAGGCACAGGTAGAATAAAAATGTCTCTCTCCTTCCCGTTGGCTCCAGCAGGCAGAGGAGTACAAGTTAGAGCCCAACTCCTGCCCAGGGTTGAGTGGCTGTTTTCACTGACACCGGGCATCTTCCTGGAGAGTACCCCTCCCACCCCCGGGAGAATCGCTAGACCTTTAATTTCCATTAGGCCAGAGGTGCTCTCCAGTGTATCCCCACCGCTGCCTGCCGCTGCTTTCCTGCCCCAGCTGCCAAGCCCAGCCTGAGGCAGGACCCTCAGCCTCTCTCTGATGGCCGTGGTGCCCCAGGGGACCAGGCGTGCCCCGGCAGGAGGATGTGGCCAGGCCGGAGCTCCGCGCTGGGTGCAGCCACTGCGTCTTTGAAAATCTCGCTTCCCATCTTTGTTATTGTCTGGGCGGCAGGCCGCCCGGTTTGCTGCCTTCCTCCCTCCGCCAGCCCCTGCCTCCGGCTTTCTTCCCCAGGAACATGCCCTTCTCTGCGCTTTCCTTGGCGGGGGTCAGGACCCTCTGCACCCGCATGCGGGGGCTTGTGTACGTACCCGTCTTGTGTGCATGTGTTGCTTGTCCGGGGAGCCGGAGAGACCACAGGCGTCCCGGCCTCCGAGTGTGTCTGCCCTCCCGGGAGCAGACAGCGTGCATGCCGTGTTTACCTCCCTCCAGCGGGAAGCCTGCACCAAGACGCCGGCCAGTGCTGGCCGGCCACCCGGCCTTCTGGTTGGAGGTCACGGCATGGCCTGGGTGGCCTCGAGCAGGTCGTGCCCGTCTTGGACTCAGGTCGGGTTACCCTCGCCACAGGCCGGAGGGGCAAGGAGTGGGGGTGCCGGGAGTGAAACTATAAGCCCATTGCTAGAAACGGTGCGAACAGTAGCAGTTGGAGCAGAATGTCACTGGCAGTGGCGTGGGATTGTCTTATTAATTTTCTATAAACAAAATCTGGCTTGGTGGCTTCTCTGGCACAGGAAGGGAGCCCAGATTTCTCATGGACAGGCAGAGAGACTGAGTTTGAAATCCCTCGACCCAGCCTTGGAGCTGAAACAGGCTTTGTCAGGACTGGGCTCTCCTGCTTTGCTGCTTTGCTTAGAAATAATAGATCTCTCAGCCGCTTCGGGGATGGATGGGGCAGGTACTTCTCTGGGGCAGCCCCTGCAGTCCTGTTTGGAGTTGACCGAGTTAAACCAACTATGGTGCGCCCCCCCCCCCAAAGAAAATGTTCACGGTCAAACGTGGGTGAGTGGAGAAGAGCCTCCCTCTACTCCGACGTGGTATGGTCGTGCTGTTGAAGGCTGGGAAGACAGAACGGGCTGCCTGTGGCTTGGCTTCACAGTGAGGAGGGGGGTGGGACCCTGGCTCCCTGGGACCCCCACAGGGCTGCCATGCTTCCGGCTGGGGAGGGGTAAGCACAGGCTGGGTGAGGGGATAGGAATGGGAGGGAGGGTGAGAGCTTCTAAGGTAGCAGGTGTGAGCCCCGGTCCCCACGGCTTCCCCTTTCAAGAAGCAGCACGGGGCACTCTGGGGCAGCCACTTGGGTTCAGACTTTGGCTGACGCTGTCTGCTTTAGGGACACCGGAGCGGCTTTGTTGCGTGCCGTCTGCTGTGCTCTGCAAACCGCTGTGTTGTGGAGGTTATTTTTTGCGCTGGAATTCTCTTCTCTGGAGGCTGGAAACCAGTTGGTTCGGTGCGGGGATCCCTGGGAAAGGAGTCTGGCTCAGGTGTGGGGACACTGAGCCTGGCCGGCTGGGGGAGAGGGCTGATGCCTGGTTGTGCGGCTGGGCTCAGGCCAGCCAGGGCTTGGTGGGCCCTGAGGGTCTCGTGATCCACAGGACAGCGTGAGCCTGTGTACTTATATTCCTGAGACAGCCAGAGGGAGGTTTCTAGCTGGTCTCCAAAATCCCTGGCCCCCTTAGACACTCATTTCTTCTCCGGAGGCTTTGGAAGTATGCGCCAAGGACGGGATCATTTCTCCTGGGTAGCAGACACGAATGCTGCTCCGGGGGTTTCCAGGTGAAAGGTGTGCTGGCAGAAGCACTTTTGTTTTGCAGGCTGGAAATGTGGCCACTTCATTTACAAGGCTGTCTTCATGTTGGGAAAAGCCATGCAGGATGTGGTGTTTCTGTCTTCCTGGAAGATAATTTCCAAGTCACTCGTTTATTAACGTTCTAGAGTAGCTAGGAGGGTCAGCCGGCAATATTACAGTTTCTCCCTGCTGCTGTTTCTGGGTGACTCCGGCCCCCCATAGGCGCTGAAAGCACGCCCACTCTGGCTCCCAGCCCTATAGTTACTCTGAAGTGGCTGTCCCCACCCCCTTCCCATTCTTCCCAGTTGGCTCGGTGCAGAGCTGATCGTGTAAACGTGGGCACGCCAGGTGCAGGGATGCGAGGCTGCTGTGCGCAGAGTTAAGAGATTGATGACCCCTCCTCGGAAATATGCGTGTTGCCTGGAGTTCCCACACCTGAAAGTTACTAATGGTGGGAGTCCAGGCAGAGTAAGGCTAGGGAGAAAGATCCTTGGAAATGGGGGTGGGGGCTTTCAAGAACCCACAACTGGCTCTAAGGAGGCAAGGATCAGTCCTGCCCTTTTGGGTAAGGCAGTTTTTGGAGAGGGGAGTGGAAGCTTAATGAGAAAGAGGGAAAATAGAAGATAGGATCTGTTTTCCGGCGTTAGTTGTTGACAGTAGGTGCAGGAGGGGCTGGGCATCAAGGCTTGGTGTTCCTTGCCTCCCTCCCTCCCCTCCCGTAGCCAGGGAGCGCCTGGTCCTCTGCCTTCCCTTGGGTGACGTCGAGATGATTGTGCAGTTTAGACAGTTTCCGGGAATAATGGGAAGTGTGTGATCTTTGGCTTTAAAGCCAGGCATTCTTGGGGCAAGTCGCATAACCTTTCTGAGCCTCGGTTTGCACATCTGCAGAATGGGCCTCATGGTGATAGTGTCCTTGGAAACATTAATGTTGCTATATTCAGCATGCGTTTAATAGAAAGTGTCCTGTTCAGTGCTGTTTCCTTAGCAACTAACACCAGGTCTTGCACATTTCTTAAATGTTTCTAGAATTTTATTAAATACATAATAACATGGGAAAGAGGCTAGACTAGCATCTGGTAGGTTTTCAGTAAGGAGTAGTTAACATTGGTGGGGGAAAAGTTACCTCATTTTGTTAAGCCTCAGTTTTCTCATCTGCAATGTGGGAAGAATAACGAACAATCATGCTGTGTTCTGAGGTTCAAGAGAGATATTGGATGTTGCTGTCTCTTGAAGGATAAAAAGGGCTGTACAGAGGATCATTGTTACCTTGAACGCAAGAAATAGCCAGGCAGGGTATCCTTTGTTCCTGTCTATACCCGAGAAAGCACACTTCTCCTCTATGTGTTCTAAAAGTCTATTTTAAAAGTCCGCTGTTTCAACTTACATTTGGGCTGTACTTGTTTTTAATCACTTACGTATTTAGGTAATGTCTAGTATTTATTAAAAATGGTGCTGATATTTAAATCCTTGAATATTTATTTTTGCTCACATCTCTGATTGTTTCTATAGGATAAAGTCTTAGAAATGGCATTACTAGGTCAAGGAATATTAACGGTGTGAGGTTTTTGCTAAAAATGTCCCCCCACTGAAAAGCCCATAGTAATTTACACTCCTCCAGTGGTGTGGAGAGTGCCCACCTGTTTCCTCACACCCACAAACACATTGGGTATCATGTCAGAATAACCTTTGTCATTCAAATAGGCAGAAAAATGCCATTTCTTTGTTATTGCGTTCCTTTGCTTGTTAGGGATTGAATGTTGTTTTCCTGAGTTTGATGGCCAGTAGTGCCGCTGCTTTGGAGTCTTGTCTCCTCCTGTCCCTTGCCTCCTGAGCATTCTGACAAGCCCCTTGCAGGATTCTTGGTTGCCCCGTTGGGCTTC